TGTACCGAATTTGGTTGAAATCGGTTAAGCAGATCCCAAGATATGGGTTTTCAACTAAAAGTGAACGGTTCCACGCCCACTATCTAATTTTGAGCGCGGTTCCTATAAAGTCATCTAATACCATCCCAGAGATAAAATTTAATGTCTCTGGCTTGTTTAGTGCTTGATTTATCGCGATTTTAGTAGTTTTTAACAGTACCATTATATGGGGAGTAAGCGGAGTTGCCACCTGATTTCAACTATTTTCACACTGTAGGTAGAGGTTCTAAAAGCATTTGCTTCCAGTGAATTTGGTTGTTACAGCATTAGCTATTTAGGAGATACGCACATTAAACCTATAAGGGGCGTCACCACGCCCACTTTAAAAAAAAAATTTTAACTGCAGATGCCCCTCCTTAATGTGATCCTGTATACCAAATAAGAGTCTTTATCTTGTTGTGGAGCTTAGTTATGGCAATATTTTTGTTTTTGATTAATGGCGTTTTGTAGGCATGGCCGTTTACGCCCATCTGCAATACCAGCCGGCTTACGGTACCAGGAAACATGTGTTCCAAGTTTCATAAAGATATCTCAATGTTTACTCAAGTTACAGCTTGCACAGACGGACGGACAGACAGTCACCCGGATTTCAACTCGTCTCTTCATCCTGATCATTTATATATACATAACCCTACAAGTAGTTGGAAGGTTACCAAGTCATTGCATATTCAAAGATTTATCTGGACCTAGAGCATATTTTAGAAGAAATATTATGGAAGACAAGTCAAAAGCTTTTCTATTATTGATTGTCCACCATACTTATATTAGAGCATATCATAAATTGCACTGAATTGGAAGCCTCTAGAGTTTTAAGGGAGAAGTGGACACTTTGATTGGAATACTGTATATACGTGGAGCCTACGAAGCAAAAGGGTTGAAACGATCGTATTTATGGAACAAAAAATGGGGTCCTGAATTTTATTCTAAAGCTATGCGTAGGCATGATTTGACAGAAATTTTACGTTTCATTCATTTCGATATAAGAAATGAAAGTAGTCAACGCTTGCAAACTGATAAATTTGCGTTAATGTTAAATGTTTGGATTTATTGTCAACATCCAAAACTGTTTCAATCCAGGAGCAAATATTACAGTAGATGAACAACTGTTTCCATTGAAAGATGTAGGTTTACACAGTATATGCCAAACAAATCAGACAAATTTGGAATAAAATTCTAACTGGCTGCTGACTTTGAAACGAAGTACGTCGAAAATGGTTTTCCTTATCTAGGAGAAGATGAAACATGAATCTTGGCAACACCTCTTAGTGAATTTGTAGTAATGAGACTACGGGAGTCTTATAACATGAAAGATAACACTGTAAACCCCGACAACTTTTTTACCTGTGTTTCTTTAGCTTCTAAATTATTAGCCAAAAACACTACGTTGGTAGATACCGCACGTTTTTACAAATGGGACCTTCCAAAAATTTGCAAAGGGAAAAGAAGAAGAGTATGGCTCGATTTTCAACTTTACTATATGCAACAAATTAATGTATACTTACAGATTATAAGAGAAAGCTCACCAAAAAAGTTGCTTTATTGAGTACTAAGCACAAAGCCGTCAAAATTGATAGCGACAGCAATACAATGTCTTTATAAAAAACCAATTTTTGGTGCGACGTCAAAAAGAAATATGTTCTCTACACACAGAAAAAAAATTTGTGTTTGCAAAAAATGTGACAAGCCACAGCTCCCGACTTTTTATTAATTTTTAAAAAGATATTTTTCTTCATTTTGAGAGCCGTTGGTATAAATTTGTTGGTAAATCAAGTGTTAATTGAACAATTCGTTCAATTACAGGAACCCCGCTTAATAACACAACCCTATAAGCTGTAACAGAACAACTCTACATACATACACCAGAACACATAAGCAGTTATCGGCAGCGGCAACTACATTCTCCACATACAGCGAAACATGGAAGCAGTTAAGGGCAGAGGGCCAGCTGAAGGCGCAGTAACGAAAAATAATTTTTTTAAAGTAATTATAATTGCATACATACGTACATATGTATACACTAATGTATTTAGTTATGTGTTTAGAATGGGTACAGCATATGTATTTAGATAAAGATGAATTAGGAACTGATAACGAATCAGTAAATTCATTATACGCTACAGAAGATAAAACGTGCTATATATGTTGCGTGATGGTGAGGATAGTAAATCCAGTTTTTATGGATACCGATACCTATATCGTGTACCACTGGGTTGTGGAGCTTAACATAGTCGCGGAAACGGTAAGGTGGGATGATTTGCAAAAGTTTATATATGGTAAACAGTTGTTGAAGGGAGCAGACAAGTTGTTTGTGCGAGGAGCTGTAGGAATTAAAATTTGGAATAGTTTGAAGACAGCTTTGTTTGAAGAGTTCGGAAAGAAGTTGAGTGAGGTACACCGAACGTTTAGGAATAGACGTAAAAAAATGAAAGTTTGCACGAATATTTATACTCCATCTTACAAATCGGTAAGCCAATATCGCTCGATGAAATGAGCAAAATAAATTATTTCGTGAAAGATACACCGGATACCAATCCGGCGTCAAGTACAAGGGAAGGTACCGAAGATATTAATAGAGATGCTGCCAATGTAAAATAACTAGAGAACGTTCACGTGGAGGGATAATGACCATGAGCGAAAAGTCCATCAACCGGTCAAGGTGGTTAAAAATGGGCGTGTTAACACAGTAGATAGACGAAACAGCGTAGAAGAAAGTGAATATATTTTTGTGGATGCGATTAACGGGATCACGTTTAGCGCATTGGTCGATACGGGATGCTTTTCGAGTATGTTAATGTATGATACGTTTATTAAGTTAGGAGAAATTGGTCTGAGGAAAGAGAAACAACGCCTGTATGAAATGAAAAAGGTAAGATTCCAGCAAAGAGCATGACGATGAGAGTTAAATATGAAGGAGTAAGGGTGCAGGCTATGCCTTATGCAGCTATTATATTAATGGACGCTCTTAAGAAATAGAGTTTTCGTTTAGAGAAGGTAATGTTGGACTTAAGAAGCCTAATAAGGGTGAAGAAGTGTTAGTTCCTACGGGTGCCGATTAATTGTCATCTGAGGGACAAAGTGTGGAAAGGTTAAAAGTAAGTGTAGCCGGGAGCGCGAAGAAAGAGTAATCTCAGGGAGAAACATAGTTTCAAGTGAGGGAAGTTGCTCTAAAGAGGTCAGAAAAGAGAAGCACGTAAATATGGTGGACATGGTACATCTTGATGTAGGCTTCAACGATGGAAGCGTATTCAAGTATTGTGCATACTAGAAATACAGACGGATAATAAACCGAATAGGGTGGACTTGGCAAATTTAGGAGAATCTACCGCAAAGTACGTCAGAACGTTTATAAATAATTATAGGCTTCAGAAACCAATTAATGTCCCAGTTCAAATGAAATTAATTTTGATGAACGAGCAATCAATGTATCAACGGCGTCGTCAGGGGTTGTATGAAGATCAAAAGTACTTAGACGATCAAATCGGATAAATGCTTCGAGGTGGGATTATTCAAAAAAGCACGTCAGAGTATGTGTCAGCAGTGCTATTAACCACCAAAATGAATGGGTCGAAAAGATTTTGTTGTAATTTTCGTAAGGTAAATGAAGAGACGGAACCATCAGTCTACAGTATGAATTTTGTTTTAATCCTTTTGGTATTACCAATTCTGCGGCAATGTTTTGTAGGTTTACGAGAGCAGTTTCTCAAGATATGAATTAAGATGGTACGATAGTTATATACATAGACGTCAATAGTTGCAGAAGGTGTGAAATAAGACAATTGAGTGGGGATTACGGCTAAACTGAAAAAAATGCCAAATTTTGAGGACACAATTAATTTTTTGGGATTCGTGATCGAGAAGAGTAGAATCTTACCATCAAAAAAGAAGACAAAAGCGATTGAACATTTTCCGATTATGGGGAGTATAAAGGAGCTTCAACGATTTGTGGGGTTAACATTATTTGTAAGGCGATATATTCGTGATTATGAAAGTTCAAGTGAAAAAGCGATGTCCCAGACAGAGTTCTGAGATGGGTCATGTGTCTTCAGGAGTACAACTATGTAGTTGAATGAAATGAATTAGTATATTACAATACCATCAAAAAGTTGTTAGTTGCAATAGTATTTTGCGGTTAAGAAAAGAGAAGACCTTTAAATTAGAATGATTACATAGCAAATGCGAATGAAAAGGTACAGAAAGTAGTTAAAGCATGCATTGAGGGTACTATCAGAGATGTCAAAAAGGGGTAAAAGAGGAATTATTGACTGCAATCGATAATGGCCAGAACAACTCAACTCAAGCTCAGCAATTTAGAAATAAAACCGCTCCTCTCAATATGAAAATACTACTCTTTAAAATACTTACCAGTTTAGATATGCGTAGATTAGAATTAAAATATAGTAGGCAGTTCGAATAGTGCAATAGTGGATTATAGGAATAGTGGATTACAGGAATAGTGTGGACGGTAACAGATCAAGCTCATCATAGTTTCAAAATTTATGGTCACTTGAGATTGTAACGCCAAACGCGAAGATTCGCGTGTGCGAGTGATTTACGCAAATAATTTAAACCTAATACTTAATAAATAATTAAGCAAAAAGTAAATTAAAGTGGAACGGAGAATTGAATAAACTGTGTAAAAAAATTGTGGCGGTCTGACTAATTCCTTTATTGGTGAAAGCGCAGAGACACCCGAAACAAACTAATTTTTTACCTATGTATGTATAAGTGATCACGATGACGCGACGAGTTGAAATCCTGGTGACTGTCTGTCCGTCTGCTCATCCATCTGTCCGTGCAAGCGATAACTTGAGTAAAAATTAAGATATCTTGATGAAACTTGGTACATACACCCCTGGCATATTTGGCAACACTTTGTAGCGGTACTTTTTGTGGTGTCGAATTTTTTTATTTAGAAATAAGTTAGTGACATGTTATTTATCAAAAATATTTAGGATTGAAAAGAAAAAACAACAGTTGTAGACTAAATTATTTAAAAATAGTGAGTTTTACAAAATTAGCTGGAAGAGACGTGATGAATGGATAGTTTTTTATTTAATTTAAATTATACTATAAATAAATATTTATGTTTTGTGATTTATTCATTAAACGAAACAAATTATCGACTATAAAAGAAAAAAATTGAAGAAAATCCCGAAAGTACGAAAAAATCTAAAACAAAATCTAAGAAAACATATTATAGTAGTAAGTTCTGCGTGGCCGCAGATGTATGTCCTTTGCTTAAAGGTACATATGTTCTAAACTGCTACCTAACTTGTTGGGTAGAAACTCTTTCAGCTCATTTTCAGATATTTTGAACACAGGTAAAATGAGATATTAACCACGCCCACTCCACATATAACGGTTATGTGGAAAACTACTAAAAGTGCGATAACTCTCTGAATAAATCCGACACAAGCATTAAATTTCACAATCAAGATAGGCTTTATAGGAGCAGGAGGTGTGGAAATGGACAATGGGCGTGGCATCGCCTCCTTTTGGGGGAAATTCTATACCTCATATGCTACTGGACCAATTTCAAGCAAACTTGATATGTGAGGTAACTAAAATATTCATATAATACAATGCGAAACTGGGCCAAATCAGATGACAACCACGCTTACTTCTTATATAACAAACTTTTAAATTTAATTTGATTCTTTAACTTTATAGTATACAAAGCAAACGTTAATGAAGTTACCAGAATAAAATTCTGCACAAATAGAGCCCTAAAATTATTCCCTCTATCGCCCGAAAATTGTCGAAATCGGACTATGTATAACTTCTCAAGAGCTAAGACACAGAATATGTAGACCTCAGAACGACTATATGACTAATTTTTACCGAACATATTGGACAATCTGTGACGTCTACAATAGAAATTCTTAGAGAATATTTTTCTGATGACAGTATGCCCTGGCGCCAAAAATGGGTAAAATCAGGTCAATACTTCACACAGCCCCATATACCTATTATAAAAATTGTCGAACTTCTAGTTGACTTTGTACCGCATATAACGGTCAATGTGTGAGTTATTTATATGATATTGAGTGAGCACGTTTTTCCAATAACAGTGTATTTTTTAGGAAAAGGATTAAATCGGGTGAAAATTTTACCTAACCCCCACATAACTAATATCAGGATTTTCACATATCAGGCTAAAATCGGTTCAATACTACTCCTATCTCTCTTATAACTAATATAAGACGTTTGAAAACTTCCGTTATCATTTTTTAATCGGTGTAAAATATCTTAGTCAAATTAACTGAGCGTATATAAGGTATATAGTTTAGTGCCGAATATATGTGAATTACATATAACCCCAACTCTCATATATTACATATAATGATTTAAGTTACTCTAACAATCCTTATAATGAATATATGTATCAGTGTTTGAGTTCCATCTCTATAAAATTGCTTGAAAATATGTTATTGAGTATACCTGAGCAATACCAAAAGTTATTGCAATCAGATCAGACGTTTTGCGCCTAATATTCAATATAAAGTGATTTCCGCCTGACTTTAAACTTTTAAACCATTTATATTGACCAAAATGTATGATAGTTTTATGAAATTAGAAGTGCACAAGTTTTCTAAAAAATAGTGTGGTTTAGCGTTGAACCTCATATCCCTTATATAAATAAATCCGATCTTCTGGTTAATGTTTTCCACATAAAATCGATATATTAGACAAGTTGCGAGAGTATAAAACGTTTGGTTACACCAACTTAGCCCTTTCTTACTTGTTTACTATAAAAATCGGGTGATCACCCCGCCTACTCCCCATATAGCGGTTGTGTTAAAAACTACTACAAGCGCGGTAAATCAAAAATAAATATAAACTAGGATTGTACAAGAAGACTTTATAGAAACTGGGGTTAAAATTTTACGATGAGTGTGGCACCGCCCACCTTTAGATGAAATCCCATATCTTGGGATCTGCTTAACCGACTTCAACCATTTTGCTTAAGGGATTTGTATTGCCAAATTACAGTTCTACATCTTAATTTAGTACTTAGTTATGGCACTTTATAGATTTCCGTTTAAAGGCGTTTTGTGGGGGATTACTCCCACCTATGAACTCATCCTTACTTTTTTGCCAAAGAACAGGTGTACCAAGTCATTCTCAATTTTTACCCAAGCTACCGCTGGCTCAGACAGATAAACAGACAGACATTCGGATTTCAACTCGTCTCGTCATCTTAATCATTTATATATATAATATATAACTCCTTATGTATCTCGATTAGTTTTAGGTGATACAAACAACCGTTAGGTGAACAAATCTCTTATACTCTGTAGCAACATGTTGCAAAAGTAGATAAAACAGTTTTTATCACAAACCATTCACAACAACTTCGAAATTTATATATTATTTTGAAAGTGTTCGTAATGAAATTGTAAACCAAATGCAAAAAAACCTATCTCTCGCAAATTGAAACAGAAAAAGAGATAACAGAGAAACAACAGAAATTCATATGGAAGCAAATACCCAAAGCGCAATATGCAACCAACACAAATACGTTCACCATTGGAATTGTACCACTCAATATGTTGCTCCTGATAATACACAAACAAACTTACTCCACTAACAACAATATCGTTGGAACTCGATTAAACTCAATAGCAAGAAAATTAAAAGTGTACCCAAAAAAGGCTTGAATAGAATATGTTGCGTGAAAATATTTGCATAATTTTCATATAAAGACATTTATCTAAATATTGATAACAGAAAACTGGTAAAGGTGAATGATTAAAAGAAGTTGTGATTGCGACGGTTCTGTTTATTTAAATTTTTAAGTAGAAAATATATTGACTTTGAACAATGAAGTGGTCAGTGCCGAATTGCAATAGCTATTATGCAAATAAGCCACTAAAACAAGTTTTTTCAGTTTTCCTTCGGATATAAAATTTGCCCAAAAATTCGTAATTTTTTAGACGAAATAAATTCCAAAGCTCAATAATTATAATTTCAAAATCTTTTCACTATTATTTCATTTAAATACATCAGAACTATCACACTGGTCTACAGTGGTTTTGTTGCCTCAGATATAAGATCGATTTTGGATATATTTGTGACCACAGTGCATGAAACTATCAATGGCTTTGTAAGATTTGCTTTCGTTTACTTTATAATCTTCCATTTTACACTACAAAAATAAGAAAACATGAAACAAAATAACATATTTACTTATATGTCCCTTTTTTTTGAAAATTCAAGTAAACAGAGAAAAAAAATTCAAAAGCATGTATAATATTTTTAACAAAAAACCTTTTATATGTAGGTGCCAATACCTTTTCAAGGACCAGCAGTAATCTGCCATCATATGACGATTTTTACAACTCTGATATTATTCTTCCTAGGCATGGAAACGTTTAATTAATAATCGATTCTCGATTCCGATTCCGATTTTATATTTTTTTTTTATTTGTAGGTGGCAATATCTTTTCAAGGACCAGCAGTAATCTGCCATCATATGACGATCTTTACAACTCTGATATTATTCTTCCTTGGGATGGAAACGTTTTATAAAGAATAGATTCTCAATTCCGATTCCGATTTTATATTTTTCGATCCTAAAAATCGATTCTTTCGATGTTATTCGATTCTAATTTAAAATATGAATAATTTTTAAAAAATAAAGCACAAAAATAATTAAGAACAATTATATTTTTTATAAACGAACAATGTGCCAAGCGTATCATATATAATTTAAAATTTTTTTAAAAATAATTTGGCGTAAAAAATTTTCATAAATGAAATATTGAATAAATTTGAAATAAAAAAACAATACACTAAATGTTAGATTAAGAAAACCATTCACTTTCCGGAATACTTGTAGATCTCATAAATAACAACAAGTGATCAGGCGTTAATCTGCTGCGAATTTGATGTACAATTAAACCAAAACTATTTCAGCTGCTTCGCACATTTATTACACAGGACATTAGATCCATTATTTACTTGTTTAAAATAAATCTACACGGCGCTAGGCGCTAGTTTAAAAATATATTAAACAAATTAATATTTAGTTGTAAATATATAAAAAAAAAATTTTGTAAATGTATTAATAAAATAAGTATGCCAAGAACATATTTGTTGACATTCTCCCTAACAACCCCTTGAACGTAGAACCAATCATCCTATACACAGCATCTTTTCTGCCCATACGACCATATACTCCGCGTTAGCTCCTAAAGCCGTTCCACCATAACTCTTTTCAGCACTTACTTACTGGAAGGAGACTGTTGCCCCGTTAAGTACGAGAATTGCTCCTGATCTTATCAGGGGACTTCAGGAAAAGGATAAACGATATCAATTTTCCACTCGAGTGGAAAATAACCCTCCCACACGCACTTATCATAAATGGCCTCCAAGTATTCTTGAATGAACTTCCACAAGCTTTTTTTGTACATCTCTCCGTTCAAACCATCAAAACCTGCGGACTGTTAAGACTTGTTCAGGCCAAAGACGTACCCATACTCACCATCATCTAATGGAGGGACAGGTACCTCTTGTTCTTGGGGTACCTGAACCTCCGCCCTGGGAAAGAACGCTCCTAACAAAGCCCTGCAAACTCTCTCAACGTTGATAACATAGTGTCACTAACGCGAAGAAAGGTTATATCCACCTATTACGACCCCGGCAGATTTTTAGCCGAACGAACGTGCCAAAAGTGGTTTGCACGGTTTGAAAGTGGCAATTTCGACTTAGACGACGGAGAACGACCCGGACAGCTAAAAAATTTCGCAGATGCATACCAGACCAAGAAGAACTTGCAAAAGTATTAGGATTTGATCAAGCAACCGTTTCCAGACGATTAAAATCATTCAGATTCGTCCAGAAGCTTGGAAATTGGGTGCCTTATGAATTAAAGCCAAGAGAAGTCAAACGTCGATTCTGCATGTCGGAAATGTTGCTTCAACGCCACCAAAAGAAGTCATTTTTGCATCATTGTCACTGCCGATGAAAAATGGATTCATTATGATAACCCAAAGCGCAAGAGATCGTATGTGAAGCCCGGTCAACCATCGACATCCACGGCAAAGCCGAATATCCATGGTGCCAAGGTTATGCTATGTATTTGGTGGGACCACAAGGGTGTACTCTATTATGAGCTATTGAAATTGGGTCAGACGATCAATGGGGACCTCAACCAAAAACAATTGATTCGTTTGAAAAAGGCCATCGCGGAAAAACGACCAGAATATGCGATCAGACACGAATCAATAATTTTTTATCATGACAACGCTCGGCCACGTGTTGCAAAGCCAGTTAAAAACTATTTGGAAAACTGTGGGTGGGAAGTTCTACCTCACCCACCTTATAGCCCAGACATAGCACCTTCCGATTACCACTTGTTCAGATCAATGCAGATTGCCCTCACCGGAGTACGCTTCACTTCAGAACAGGGTTTCAGAAATTGGCTCGATTCTTTCTTGACCTCTAAGTCGGAGAAGTTCTTTTTGAATGGGATCTACAAACTGCCAGAAAGATGGGCAAACATCGTAGCTTCCGATGGGCAATACTTTGAACATTAAATGTATAACAATTATTTCACAAAAAAGTCTTAATTTTTGAAAAAAACCGCACGAATTAATGCATACACCTGCATATTGGGCAGACAGCTAACATCACCAGACGCCCACCTGGCTTTAAACGCGCAGCTACAGCAATATGGTGCATAGACGCAACCGGAAGCTCTGTGACCTTCCTGCCCGCACCTCCGACACACTTCTGATTTGGCCCTACACTCAGCCACTCTGTGATCGAAACCCATACACCATATTTGTATAAATATACATATCTGTGTATTAAATAAATTTGGAAATTGGTGAATATTACATTAACGACGAGAATAATCGGAAAGTGTTTGAAAATACTGCAAACTAACATTTCCGATGCCGCATAAGATTTTAAATTCAAACGGGAATAGCAACGGTATTTTGGTTAAGCGCGCGGGTATTAGTAGTAACGTAAGTAAAACATAATTGTATTCAGCGTTGTCTGAATAACGGAATTCATTCCAAATGAAATGAGGTATTGAAATGAACGAAATGGAGCACTAAGCCAGTGAAAAATTAATTGCGAAATTAAAAAAATTGGAAAAATTAATTATGAAATTAAAAAAGCGAGAAAAAGGGTGGAGAATCTATTGCAAATGCGATGAGAGGAGGGTAAGAGTGGATTGAATGTTTGAGACTTCGTGTTCAAATATCTTTGAATAAGCTTATTTTTATTAATGATGAGGTAGCACAAAACGTACATAGACATTAACAAACATAAAACTATATGCATTGCAGTACATATGCATACATAAATAAATGTATGCATTGATAAAATAGAGTTCTGAAAATACATCTATGCACTATACTTGTAATTCTGTGCACTTGAACACTAAATATGTCACATCACATAATGTCATATCACGTAAAATAGATAACATACGAACACACACACACACATGAATTCAGTTGTACAATTAAAAACAACCCCATGTCGTGTAACGAGACATACAAACATACACATGTACACATACTTTAAGTTAGAATTAAAATAAATCAGAATGAAATATTATTCAGCTCAATGAAGATCTTTATTTTTTCCCCACCAGTGGTAAGAGTCTAAATAATCTTCATTAAGTTTATACGTTGGTCCTTCGAGCCGGATAAAGCTCAAGGCAAATGAAAAAGTCCTGTATGATATACATACAGGCTACAATGAAACATTTGGTCCTTCGAGCCGGATAGAGCTCAAGGCAAATAAAAAAGTCCTGTATGATATACATACAGGCAACAATGAAACATTGGAAGCAAAAGAACAAATTAAAAGAGAATGCAGTTCTAGAGATCTTTGAAGATTTTAAATACATAAAATTTCCAAAAGAAATAGATGTTGTAGTTGACGTCATAATGGAAGAACACGACCCAATGGTAGCTAATAGTATGAACACCAAATTGTGGTCTCCTCTGGTAATCGAGGAGGATGAAAAAGATGGGGAAAAAGACTTTATTATTTCCCCGGAGACTCCTAACCTTGGAGGAATTAATTAGGCTGTTTATGTTGTCATAGACGCAACATTGGATCTTGATTCTTCTGATGAAAAGCCAAATAACGATGTGAAAAAATGAAGATGACTTAGATGATTTCAAGTTTGATAGTACAACCTAAAAGAAATGTTCATAATGTGGTGCTGATGGTATACGAAGTAGACGCAAATCAGCGGCCGCAGCAACACGGAACCCCAAGATAAGAATTTGCAGCCACCTGCTACGACGTCACTTAGTTAACAAACATGACACGACTACATGCTGCTGGCACCTTTCCAGCAGTCACTTTTGTCGCCCGAGAGTATGTTCAAAAATTAACAAGTGCGTTGAGGACAAAAGGCATCACTTTCAGTATGCAAAAGAATTTAATTTTATTATTCTACATATTAAGAAGATAAGATAAAATAAGAAACATTTAAAAGAAGTACAGTCCAATAAAATATTTTCCCTTGACAATATATTCAAATATCTTTGAACAAGCTTATCTTTATTAATGCTGAGGTAGTAAAATGTACATAGACATTAACAAACATAAAACTATATGCATTGCAATAGTGGATAAGTGGATTTAGCCTAAAATAAACAGATAAGTACAAATTTGTATTAAATAAAAAATCATTTGCACTTACCTGCCCCTTTCTTTGAGAGAATTTTTGTAATTTTTAGTTATATTTACCATTTCCCTTAATGTTTTGCTGTGATTCACATAAAACGTGGACTTTTTTAATCTGCCGTTTTGTTTTGATTTAATAGCTGTTCCCACTTCGTTTTTTTCTTTTCGATTTGCTTTTGGTTGTGGCGTTGCCAACCATTCATAACGTAAGTAAGGTTTTAGCGCTAGGAATTGAACATACCCATTGACAGGTGTACCCAAACTATTCTCAAGCTGAGGTATGGCCTCTGAGAATAATATCGGGCGTACACCAGAGAGTCCTTTTCGGAGGAATTACAAAATTTTAAAAAATTAAGAACGGAGGCCATCATAATAACCGAAAAGGAGGGTGCGTCATGTGCTGACATTCTGCGGAAAATAAAAAGCGATAGCAGTCTTGAAGAGTTGGGTTCAAACGTGACCTACATACAGAAAACTATGAAAGGAGACCTACTGACTGAATTAAAAAATCAGTCAGACAATAAAGCCGAATCGTTCCAAAGCCTCTTAGAGGGAGCGGTGGGAGAAATGGCGGTGATACAACCAAAATCTCACAACGTCACAATAGTGTGTAAGGACCTAGACGAAATTACAACTCCTGAAGAAATCTGCGAGGCACTACCAAAGGAGTGTGGGATCCAAAACCTAGAAAAAACAAGCGTCTAAAGTATGAAAAAAACTCGAAGTGGCACACAAATAGCTCTTGTATGCCTGGGTGCTTAGGATGCCAAGGCTGCACTAAAATTGGGCAAAGTTAGGATAGGGTGCTCGATCTGTCGTCTCCGGGAATACTCGCCTATCCCGTGCTGTTTTAGGTGTTTCAACCTGGGACATATGGCACGAAAATGTTGCAACCCGACTGACAGGTCGTCTCTTTGCACGCGTTGTGAAACTAAAGGACACGTTGCAAAGACGCACAAATGCTCCAAAATACATGCTCTGTAAAGGGGAGCACTCTACGTCACTAAAAAACTGAGGATATTG